ACACAGGCACAGAGACACAAGGATTTGTAAGAAGAGAGACACAAGGGGTTGCAACACACAGACGCAGAGACACACGGAGATGCAACACACAGACACAGAGACACACGGAGTGACCTGTATTAGACTGTGCCTTGCAACGGGGTTATTCGTCACCCCCATCGCTGTGCACACACAACCCGTGGCTTTCTCCCATTGGGCGCGTCGCGTTCTTCACGTCAGTGACCAATTACTGAGCAAATGTTGCTGACGGCCGTTGCCTGGAAGTGACCCCGTCAGGTGACGCAGGACGACTCAGTCGGGGCATAAAGCAGCGATGTCCCTGGGGGGGGGGGGTCACAGCTTCATCGTCATTTGAGGTTCGGCAACGCAAGGTGAGTTGCTTCCCAGTCACCGACAGAATGTCCAGCAGTGGATGTCTCTTGCTGTGTGTTGCACACTCGAAATGAAGGACGTGGGCAGGTGCTCCAAATCGAGGGCAGACACATTTATTCATGGTAATCTGTAAAATGCAACAGCACGTGTCACACACAGCAATTTTCAATCGAGTCGCCATTAACAACGTGGCTGATGTACAGGTAAGGTTACTGAATACGTTTCATTTAAACCCAATTCCACTACTGATAAACCATCTTTGTCTTTAATCATAACCTTTACACTTTACTATTCGAATATTACTTCCTAAGCTGTATGTCTATACCATCCACTATATTGGTATCTTGTACCCATTATCTGTACTGTATGTGTGCTGTACTTGTCACCATTGTACAACTTACTACTGTATATGTTACATTCTTAATAGCATTGCAAGTAGTCATACTCGGTGCATGGGCATAGTTATAGAATAAACAGTATTAGGGTTAGAGAATTACCAGTATTAACTACAGTACGTCACTCTTTACAGTGTACAGTGCTAAACTCCCTCCGATTGAACATATCACAAACTACCAGATCATAGCCAAGTTTAAAGAATGTAACGTTTCTATAACTATCAAAAACAACATTCGGGTCCTTTACCTGTACAATGCAACAGCACGTGTGTCACACACAGCAATTTTCAACCGAGTCGCCATTAACCATGTGACTGGTGTACAGGTCAGGTGACTTAATAACCCTGCCAGCCACCTACAGGCCCGACTCAGTATCGCATGCTGGTGTACACACGTGCATTGATGTACTGCACAGCACATAAGGACCCTCACAAAACCACACTTTACTCCATTGCTGCACGAGGAAATAATTAAACGAGTTGTCCATTCCAAATGTGTCACAAAAGAGTGGTCCATTCCTAATGTGCCACTAATGTGCCACATTAGGAATGGCCTCAAATGACCACCGTTGTTGTGGTCACAACGGTGGTCGCTTGTGATGTGAATCGGTAAGGACAATTCTAGATTTGAAGCTTTCGTGACTGCAAAGATTCATACTCTTTGGTTTATTCGGTAAAGTCACGTAGGTAAAATAAAATAAAACATCTAAATTAAATCACGACGTTTCGGAGGCAACACAAGCTTCCGTCTTCAGGTGGAACAGTCACAGCAGAATATCTGTGTCAAGTGGACAGCTCTGAGACAGCTGGGATTATATATACAGGTTAAGGGGGGGGAGGAGCCAAGAAGGGACTTGGGTGGGGGGAGGGCTGAGTTAAGCCGCCTTTTGTTATGCTGCAGTGGGTTCAGGGGGAGAGATGCACAAGTACATACAACCCACTGAAAGCAATGGCTGTACAATTATAAGGCAGCTAACGTTTGACTTGATTTATAACATCTTTCCAATGGTTGCTCAATTTGAAACCATCCTCTCGGTTGAAGTCGTGTCTGTGTTTGTATATCTGGATGGCTTCATGGACAAATCTTTGGTAATAACCGGGAGGTTTGCAGAGAACTTTGGTATCAGAGAAAACAATGTCATGAGAACCCGCTGTGTTGAAACAATGATCAGCCACGGCCGAAGATTTCGTTCTGCCGTGTTTCAAATCTGATTTGTGCTCGCGGATTCGGTCAGAAATATTTTGTTTCGTCTCCCCGATATAGCAGTCACCGCAGGCACAACTCAATTTGTAAACACCGGGGTACTGTAAGTCAGGAATGACATCCTTTACGGATGGGATCAGATCACGGATTTTGTGTACTGTATTGAACCGGACCTGGATATTGTGTATGTTTAGAATTTTGGAAATCTTTTTAGTAACCCCTGCTATGTATGGTAACGTGGTGATTTTGATCGGAGTTTCAGGTGGTTGTTTCTGTATGGTGGGAGAAACAGCTTGGCGGATGGTACGGTCAGAGTATCCATTCATCTTGAGGGCCAGATGTACATGTTTTCATTCACTGGCCAGGTGGTGTTGATCACAAATTTATTGAGACCTATGGTATAATATTTTGATGAGAGAGTTATTTTGAGTCGGGTGGTGGTGTGAATCAGGCTTCAAGTAGGAGTCTGTGTGGGTGGACTTCCTGTAAACAATGTCCCAAAGAGCCACCAGTCCTCCTCTCAAACAGAACATCCAAGAATGGCAGCTTGCCATCTTTCTCCACTTTCATGGTGAATTTGATGGATGGGTGTCTGGAATTAACGTGGTCTAGGAAATGGTTCAATGCTGGGAGGCCATGTGGCCAAATGACGAAAGTGTCATCCACATATCTCTTCCATAAGGAAGGGTGAAGGGTGGATGTCTGAATGGCGTCTGATTAAAATTTCTCCATGAAAACATTGGCTATCACTGGTGACAAGGGGGAGCCCAAAGGGGTACCCTCATTTTGTTTGTAAAAGGTACCATTCCAGGTAAAGTAAGTGTTGGTGAGGCAGTGCCTAACCAGCGCAGGGACATCAGAGTTCAGTCCATGTTGGACCAAGTCTTCAATTATTGTTATGGTGTCAGGTACTGGGACCTTGGTAAACAGAGAGACCACGTCCCTGCGCTGGTTAGGCACTGCCTCACCAGCACTTTACCTGGAATGGTACCTTCTACAAACAAAATGAGGGTACCCCTATGGGCTCCCCCTTGTCACCAGCGATAGCCAATGTTTTCATGGAGAAATTTGAATCAGACGCCATCCAGACATCCACCCTTCGCCCTTCCCTTTGGAAGAGATATGTGGATGACACTTTCGTCATTTGGCCACATGGCCTCCCAGCATTGAACCATTTCCTAGACCACATTAATTCCAGACACCCATCCATCAAATTCACCATGGAAGTGGAGAAAGATGGCAAGCTGCCATTCTTGGATGTTCTGTTTGAGAGGACTGATGGCTCTTTGGGACATTGTTTACAGGAAGTCCACCCACACAGACTCCTACTTGAAGCCTGATTCCCACCACCACCCGACTCAAAAGAACTCTCTCATCAAAACATTATACCATAGGGCTCATTGTATTTCTGACCAACACCACCTGGCCAGTGAATTAAAACATGTACATCTGGCCCTTAAGATGAACGGATACTCTGACCGTACCATCCGCCAAGCTGTTACTCCCACCATACAGAAACAACCACCTGATACTCCGATCAAAATCATTACGTTACCATACATAGCAGGGGTTACTAAAAAGATTTCTAAAATTCTAAACAAACACAAGATCCAGGTCCGGTTCTATACAGTACACAAAATCCGTGATCTGATCCCATCCGTAAAGGATGTCATTCCTGACTTACAGTACCCCGGTGTTTACAAATTGAGTTGTGCCTGCGGTGACTGCTATATCGGGGAGACGAAACGAAATATTTCTGACCGAATCCGTGAGCACAAATCAGATTTGAAACACGGCAGAACGAATTCTTCGGCCATGGCTGATCATTGTTTCAACACAGCGGGTTCTCATGACATTGTTTTCTCTGATAACAAAGTTCTCTGCAAACCTCCCGGTTATTACCAGAGATTTGTCCATGAAGCCATCCAGATATACAAACACAGACACAACTTCAACCGAGAGGATGGTTTCAAATTGAGCAACCATTAGAAAGATGTAATAAATCAAGTCAAACGTTAGCTGCCTTATAATTGTACAGACATTGCCATTGATCTCAGTGGGTTGTATGTACTCATGCATCTCTTCCCCCGAACCCCCTGCAGCATCAACCATTGAAAAGATGTTATAAATCAAGTCAAACGTTAGCTGCCTTATAATTGTACAGCCATTTCCATTGCTCGCAGTGGGTTGTATGTACTCATGCATCTCTTCCCTCGAACCCCCTACAGCATCAACCATTGAAAAGATGTTATAAACCAAGTCAAAGTTTGGCTGCCTTATAATTGTACAGCCATTGCTTTCAGTGGGTTGCGTATACTTGTGCATCTCCCCCCCCCCCCCGAACCCTCTGCAGCATAACAAAAGGCGGCTTAACTCAGCCCCCCCCCACCCACGTCCCTTCTTGGCTCCTCCCTCCCCCTTAACCTGTATATAATCCCAGTAAGGACAAGTTCATCCATTGACCAGGGGCAGACCTGCCATACTCTGCAGTGGGTGCATGTGGTTTAGCGCGGTGTTCGTCGTTGAACAAGTGCCAATGGACATTCCACATTCCTCTGATGGGGTCCATCCCGTCTTTCTAAAAACAGATGCTGCCTAGAATGTGCAACTAAAACGTGCGAGGATGAGATGCAATGCCTCATATATGACGCTCATCGGTTATACAGTCGTGGGGTTTGTGTAACTGCTTATCACTGCTCAACCCCAGCTATTCTTGCTTTGATATTTGCATTGGCCTTGGAGTTTTTGCCCTTTGACGTTGGTCTCTGGTCTCATGCTGGTGGTGAGACAAGGCCATAAAGAAGGCTGCTGCCTCTGGTGTAGGCCATTCAGTTTCAAAGACAAAGCGTGGGTTATTATCAGAGCATGTTTGTTTGCATGTTTTTGCCACGAGCACGTGTGGTCAATGCGAACTTGATGATGCCTTGTCATCGGTGTGTCTAGCTGGTGGGTTTGCTCCAAGTTTTGCGGTTTCCTCCCACGGCGAACACAAAAAAGGCCGCATGCAATGTACCTGGTATTGTTTAAGCATCCCAAATGCCAAAACAAAATTACCTGCAGATTACTCAATTAACATTACACACAGCAGCAACTTCACACCCTACTGGAAAAAAAATGTCAGGACCCTTCTGAAATAATGTCTTGAGGCTTTTTCCCTGGGTAGACAAACACGATTATATGAAATGCTTCGTGGCAGTAAACATCACGAAAGGTAAAAGTTCGCTGTGATTTTACCGTGTGTTTTTGTTGCACACTCGAAATTAAGGACGTGCGCAGGTGCTCCAAATCGAGGGCAAACATTTATTGTGGTAATCTGTAAAATGCAACAGCACGTATATCACACACAGAAGTTTATAACCGAGTCGCTATCAACCTCGTGACTTGTGTACAGATCAGGTTACTCAATAACCCTGCCAGTCACCTATAGGCCCGACTCAGTATCGCATGCTGGTGGACACACGTGCTTTGATGTACTGCACAGCACACTTTACTCCATTGCTGCACGAGGAAATAATTAAAAGAGTGGTCCATTCATGTTGTGTCACATTTGCAGTGAACTCCAACGATGACGTCCAGCATTGAACTCGATCGGTTCTACAGCGAAGAGGTTGAGTTTCCACCTCGGCTGCTCGCTTCCCACATCGACACTGCCGAACGCGAGGTTCATATACTCCTGGCGGGGATGAGAAGCCTTCTGCGGCCAAACATAGATCCCTCGATTGAATATGGCATCGTTCAAACTGGCAGCTCGTACGAAGGACTCAAAGTGAAGGGGGATATGGAGCTGGATTTTATGATCGTTCTCTCTCACTCGGAATTCAAGTTTATCCCCATCACCTCAGATTACAGTGGCTATTGTAAAATAAATGCTGAGCAGCAAAAGCCACAATTTCAAATGCACACTGCAAAATATTGGGCATCATTAAGTCCCTTTCACTCATTTGAAAAGGACTTTACCAGCAATGGATACCTGATACCATCAAAAATATATCAGTGGTTTCAGTCATTAGCAGACAGAGCGGTGAACAAAAACAAGTCTAAATTTGTTACAAAGTTTGTCGGCAACTTGCCAGCCCGTACGCTCATTTTAAATATTTGGCCCGATGTTGAAATCTGCGTGGACCTCGTCCCAGCGATCTACATTGGCAGAGACCTCTTCGTGGTGGCCAAACCCTTGAAGACATCCCCAGACCCAGATCTCTGGAGGCTGTCGTTCTCCGTCTTCGAGAAAAACATCCTCAGCCGGCTTCCAAGCTCCTCCTGCCACCTGAAGGCCCTGAAGATCCTCAAGTACCTGCGGGAGCACGACACTCGGCTGGAGGAGACGTCTCAGTTCGCGAGTGGACTCTGCTCGTACCACCTGAAGACGGCCTCCCTCCACCTGCTCGAGCAGAGGCCATACACCCAGGAGGGCCTGCACGAGCACCTGCACCAGCTGATGGACTTCCTCATTGAGTGCATGCAGAGAAGGGAACTCAACCACTTCTTTATGGGGAATCCATCGAGCCTGGCGAGGGACGCGCAAGTGCCCAGCAGCATTACCCACAGAGAGTTCCGCCTCAATCTCTTCAGTGATAAATTCGTGAATGAGAGCACCCTGAGCCAGGCGAGGGAGAGACTCGTCAGGATTAAACGCTCTCTGCCTGCCATAATCCAACAGCATTATGAACCCGGTGCTTACAGCTGCAATATTTTTTAAGAGCTCCTACACCACTTACAATTGAACACGTTTGAGGCGTTTTTCACGGCCAATGTTTAAATTCACAATTGTCGGGTTAAGGCCGCGTGATAATTTCGCCCGAATGTTGCGTCGTCGAAAAGCCTCAACCACCCGACGAAGCCAAATTCAATTGTCCCGTTTGCGTACGGGCGTTTAAACTACGCGGTTGATGTAGAGGGGGATCATCACAAACGGAATGTGTGAGCGATTAGATATGAGACGTTTAGATTGGTACCGTGGCAAGGGGTCTCCAGGTCAGAATTTTATTTTTTAAATGCAGTCGCTCTCAAATGAAGCGTCACGTCTACTCGGTTGTACTGACATGCATCCCAGTGTATGTAAATTCGATTGTAACGCAACATAAACTAGTTCACGAATTCTATAGGTACGTTGTGTTAAATTTACTCGGCGATCACAGCAGTTTTTTCTTGAGTAGAGTCTTTTTTTTCGCAACTGATTTTAAGAATTTTAATTTTATCATAATAAAACTTTCAACTTTACGTGACATTTTTCGATTTAAAGCTTTCGTGACTGCAATGATTCATCTTCTTTGGTTCTTTCGGTAAAGTCACGTAGAATGAGAATAAAATAATAAATTGATAAAATAAAATAACACCATAATATTCTCACGACGTTTCGGCCACAACACAAGCGGCCTTCATCAGGTGAAGGGAGCGAGACTGTCTGGTAGGACAGCGCTGGAGTGAGAGAGCCACGTTCAGATCACGGCTTTTAAGCTGTGTGAGAGGAACAAAGAGCCTTGACGAAGGAATTAGCATAAAATTTAGCATTGAAAAGGCTGAATGATTAGCTTGTGACTGGTCACAGAAATAGCTATGTTAAAAGTTAAAGCATACACATCCGCAGAGGCACCCATTGTTAAAAGGAATTAGCATAGAATTTAGCATTGAAATAGCTAAATTAAGGCATTCGCTTGTAACTGCTACAGAAATAGTTACGTTGAAGTCAGAGCATACACATTCACCGAGGCACTTAGTACAAATCAAAACAGGAGAATTTAGCATTGAAATAACTAGGCGAATTTAGCATTGAAATAACTGGGTGATTTGCTAGTGACTGGTCACAGAAATGACTACAAATCTGAGCTATTCACAGTACTATATAGTGAACCAATAAAAACTAAAATATAAATTACCTTCATGTTATCAATAAACTCTATATTCTCCAATCAGCTAAGCTACCAACCATAAGTCGTTATATATCACAATGCTATATGGCGAAAAAATGGGTGGATTCTTACCCTCAAATTTCCGTACCACGGATAGCTACGGGCCCCGTTCAGACGGACGAGTTCGTCCATGGTCGGAACAGAGGAGGGGGAGAGAGACAGCTGCGAAGCCCTAGTATACTCCATGTTGTAAACCATACCATTAACCGTGGTGTGAGAGGTATTAAGAGGCAATGCTGGCGAAAGAGCTGCGGTCTGAAGGTCATCGTAAAATTACAATTAATTAAGAACAGAAATGATTTAACACATCTTTCCAGTGGTTACTGAGCCTGAATCCATCTTCTCGGTTGAAATTGTCTCTGTGCTTGTATATGTGAATGGCCTCATGAACGAATCTCTCATGGTAGCCAGTTGGTTTGCAAAGAACCTCCGTCTTGGAGAAGTCAATGTCATGTGAGCCCACTGAATTGTAACAGTGATCTGCCACGGCAGAGGAGTTCGTCTTACCGTGTTTCAAGTCTGCTTTATGTTCGCGGATGCGATCCGAGATATGTCTTTTGGTTTCTCCAATGTAGCTACTACCACAGAGGCACTTTAGTTTGTAAACGCCCGGGTACTGTATGTCTGGAAGAGCATCTTTTACAGATGGAACTAAATCACGGATTTTGTGTACTGTGTTGAATCGGACCTGGATCTTGTGTTTATTCAGGATTTTGGAGATCTTTTTAGTGACCCCTGCAATGTAGGGTAAGGTGATGGTTTTGAGTGGCTCCACAAGAGGATCCTTCTTCATGACTGGAGTGATGGCTTTGCGGATTGTGTAGTCGGAGTAGCCATTAGCCCTGAGAGCCTGGTGTACGTGCTTGAGTTCACTGGTAATGTGTTCCTGGTCGGAAATGCATTGGGCTCTATGGTATAGAGTCTTGATGAGGCAGTTCTTCTGGGATGGATGGTGGTGGGAATCCGGTTTCAAGTAAGCATCTGTATGGGTAGCTTTCCTGTAGACAGAGTGGCTCATTGAACCATCATGTCTCCTTTTAATTAAGACATCCAGAAAGGGTAGTTTGCCATCTTTTTCGACCTCCATGGTAAATCTGATGGCTGGGTGTATGGAATTGATGTGGTCGCGGAATTGGTCTAGAGCAGGCTGGCCATGTGGCCAGATGACAAAGGTGTCATCAACGTACCTCTTCCATAAGGTCGGGCGTAGAGTGGCAGTCTGGATGGCGTCAGTTTCAAATTTTTCCATGAATACGTTGGCTACAACCGGAGATAGGGGGGAGCCCATTGGGGTGCCCTCAGTTTGTTTGTAGAAAGTTCCATTCCAGGTGAAGTATGTGTTGGTTAAGCAATGTCTCACCAGGGGGGGTACATCAGTATGCAGTCCTTGATGAACCAGGTCTTCAATGATAGCGATGGTGTCAGGTACCGGGACTTTGGTGAACAAGGACACCACATCAAAACTGACAAGCAGGTCGTTTGGGGACAGGGAAATGTCTTTGATTGTCGATACCAGGTGAGTAGAATTTAGTACCGCAGAGGTGGTTTTTCCAGTGAAAGGTCGCAGTATATCAGCCAGAAAACGTGCCAGTTCTTGTTGAAACCCTCTGCTGCCAGACCACCAAGATTATATGGCCTTCCAAAGATACACAAAGAAGATACACCCCTTCGTCCCATCGTCTCTACTATCAGCTCCCCCACCTACAAACTGGCACGTTTTCTGGCTGATATACTGCGACCTTTGACTGGAAAAACCACCTCTGCGGTACTAAATTCTACTCACCTGGTATCGACAATCAAAGACATTTCCCTGTCCCCAAACGACCTGCTTGTCAGTTTTGATGTGGTGTCCTTGTTCACCAAAGTCCCGGTACCTGACACCATCGCTATCATTGAAGACCTGGTTCATCAAGGACTGCATACTGATGTACCCCCCCTGGTGAGACATTGCTTAACCAACACATACTTCACCTGGAATGGAACTTTCTACAAACAAACTGAGGGCACCCCAATGGGCTCCCCCCTATCTCCGGTTGTAGCCAACGTATTCATGGAAAAATTTGAAACTGACGCCATCCAGACTGCCACTCTACGCCCGACCTTATGGAAGAGGTACGTTGATGACACCTTTGTCATCTGGCCACATGGCCAGCCTGCTCTAGACCAATTCCGCGACCACATCAATTCCATACACCCAGCCATCAGATTTACCATGGAGGTCGAAAAAGATGGCAAACTACCCTTTCTGGATGTCTTAATTAAAAGGAGACATGATGGTTCAATGAGCCACTCTGTCTACAGGAAAGCTATCCATACAGATGCTTACTTGAAACCGGATTCCCACCACCATCCATCCCAGAAGAACTGCCTCATCAAGACTCTATACCATAGAGCCCAATGCATTTCCGACCAGGAACACATTACCAGTGAACTCAAACACGTACACCAGGCTCTCAGGGCTAATGGCTACTCCGACTACACAATCCGCAAAGCCATCACTCCAGTCATGAAGAAGGATCCTCTTGTGGAGCCACTCAAAACCATCACCTTACCCTACATTGCAGGGGTCACTAAAAAGATCTCCAAAATCCTGAATAAACACAAGATCCAGGTCCGATTCAACACAGTACACAAAATCCGTGATTTAGTTCCATCTGTAAAAGATGCTCTTCCAGACATACAGTACCCGGGCGTTTACAAACTAAAGTGCCTCTGTGGTAGTAGCTACATTGGAGAAACCAAAAGACATATCTCGGATCGCATCCGCGAACATAAAGCAGACTTGAAACACGGTAAGACGAACTCCTCTGCCGTGGCAGATCACTGTTACAATTCAGTGGGCTCACATGACATTGACTTCTCCAAGACGGAGGTTCTTTGCAAACCAACTGGCTACCATGAGAGATTCGTTCATGAGGCCATTCACATATACAAGCACAGAGACAATTTCAACCGAGAAGATGGATTCAGGCTCAGTAACCACTGGAAAGATGTGTTAAATCATTTCTGTTCTTAATTAATTGTAATTTTACGATGACCTTCAGACCGCAGCTCTTTCGCCAGCATTGCCTCTTAATACCTCTCACACCACGGTTAATGGTATGGTTTACAACATGGAGTATACTAGGGCTTCGCAGCTGTCTCTCTCCCCCTCCTCTGTTCCGACCATGGACGAACTCGTCCGTCTGAACGGGGCCCGTAGCTATCCGTGGTACGGAAATTTGAGGGTAAGAATCCACCCATTTTTTCGCCATATAGCATTGTGATATATAACGACTTATGGTTGGTAGCTTAGCTGATTGGAGAATATAGAGTTTATTGATAACATGAAGGTAATTTATATTTTAGTTTTTATTGGTTCACTATATAGTACTGTGAATAGCTCAGATTTGTAGTCATTTCTGTGACCAGTCACTAGCAAATCACCCAGTTATTTCAATGCTAAATTCGCCTAGTTATTTCAATGCTAAATTCTCCTGTTTTGATTTGTACTAAGTGCCTCGGTGAATGTGTATGCTCTGACTTCAACGTAACTATTTCTGTAGCAGTTACAAGCGAATGCCTTAATTTAGCTATTTCAATGCTAAATTCTATGCTAATTCCTTTTAACAATGGGTGCCTCTGCGGATGTGTATGCTTTAACTTTTAACATAGCTATTTCTGTGACCAGTCACAAGTTAATCATTCAGCCTTTTCAATGCTAAATTTTATGCTAATTCCTTCGTCAAGGCTCTTTGTTCCTCTCACACAGCTTAAAAGCCGTGATCTGAACGTGGCTCTCTCACTCCAGCGCTGTCCTACCAGACAGTCTCGCTCCCTTCACCTGATGAAGGCCGCTTGTGTTGTGGCCGAAACGTCGTGAGAATATTATGGTGTTATTTTATTTTATCAATTTATTATTTTATTCTCATTCTACGTGACTTTACGTGACATATATATGCATATGCTTTAAAAAACGGGTTGCAGCATGCTTAAGTGTACAGTTATTTTATTATATCTTGGGGCCTGACATCGCATCTCCAATTCGATCATAGAAGTTGATGGGAAAACAGGGCTCTGTACACTGAATGTCCCCTTGCGGAGAGCTTTTTCAGGAACTTACGTGTTCCGTATATCGAGGGTAAGGGAAGACAAGGCGGCGTTGTTGTCCCATGGTTGATCGGAGAAAGTTTTATTTTTATCAGCTTTAGCGAGTGACAGTGGTGGCGGTAGTGACACAGGGCAGCAGCAGCAGCACCAACTGTTGGAAAGTCATCATCGTGCCAATTCGTTGCTCGTACAGCACACCGGTGTGTAGGAGAGCAAAGCCACAACAGTTACAATGATTGTAGATTGATTGTAAATGTCGGTGTGCTGTACTAGTAACGAATTGGCACGTTCTGTTCACGTGACAAACCTTACCATTTGGCTGCGTCGGGTGGTGGCGGGTTTAACGACACATTTATATATTTCAGCGATGTAACCCAAAAAAAACTTGTTTTATGGAGTATGTTGCCTGTTTACCCAGCAAGCGAACTACCACGGTTTGTTTTTGCAGAAGGTAGGCGATGTTCCTGCTGCGTGTGATTCCCAACTGAGTAATTTGCAGGGAATTACGTTGCGTGAGTTTTAACCTATACCAGAAAGTTGCATAATCTGGAGGGGGGAACGTCCGGCCTGTGGGCCGTATAAGGCCCGCGAAATCATTTGGTCTGGCCCTGCCAAGGCAACCGCACGACTTGAAATTCAATCAATCTAGGAGCTTTTTTCATAGCAACGTAAATTTTATTTTGTATGGCCCGCGAATGATGTTACAAATATCCAAATGGCCCTTGGCAGAAAAAAAGGTTCCCCACCCCTGAGTTGTAAAGGGAGGGGTGAGAACACGCAGACTCCACGCAGATAGGCAGGCCGAGTCGGGAGCTGAACCCGGGTATTTTATTTTAATAATATGAACGCCCAACTTTATCTGTGATGAATATGATGAACGCTGAACTTCCCGTCGTTTTCATGCAGGGGGCGCTGCAAACCTACGTGCCCCCTGCATGAACGACGGAGGCGGAGGGACAGACGTTCGATTACGTTGGAATCGATCTGCAGACGGCGGTCTTCTCGCACGGCCAGCAGCTCTGTGTCGCCTTATCTCGATCCCGCAATCCGAAACAGGTGAAAGTCCGCATCGAACCGAACCCCCAGCAAGGCCATCTACTTAACGACGAGATGAAATGCACACGAAATGTCCTTTTCAATGAAGTCTTCCAGATGTAAAATGATACAAGCTTTTAATGAAGAAATAAAATATATCTAATTCAAAACATAAGACAATTAAAAGATGTTTCATTTTAATACTTCAAAACGGAGCATCGGGTGCTTGCGTAATTGCGTCGTTCGTGTGAAAAAAATTTCGTGACTTTCCTGGCCGACGGCCACCATGGGAGTGTCCGGGCACAGCACATGGGGAGGAGTATTGGGGTGAAAGAAGTGGATTTGCAACACAAAGATCCCCCGTGTAGCCTGTAACAGACTGTCGGGGCAAGTGCTGTTAGCGAGCAGCTATGAAGGCCGGAACGGATGGGTGGCCAGCACCACGCCTGACCGCCTTTGTCTCCCCAGTGGCGATATTTACACACCGCACCAGGTTACTCATTTGAGGCTGAGTCGACCTGGGGGAAGCCCCAGGACCGGTTCAGATAATGGTCACTGGTGTTGGTGGCTGTGAGCAGGAATCGAACTCGGGTGGCCGGGTTCAGTAGATGACAAAAGTGTCATCCACGTACCTCTGACACTTTTGTCATCTGGCCACATGGCCGGCCTGCTCTAGACCAATTCTTCGACCACATCAATTCCATACACCCAGCCATCAGATTTACCATGGAAGTCGAAAAATATGGCAAGCTACCTTTTTTGGATGTCCTAATAAAAAAGAGACCTGATGGTTCAATGAGCCACTTTGTCTACAGGAAAGCTACCCATACGGATGCTTATCTGAAACCGGATTCCCACCACCATCCATCACAGAAGAATTCTCTCATCAAGACTCTGTATCATAGAGCCCAATGCATATCCGACCAGGAACACATAGGCAGTGAACTCATGCACGTACACCAAGCTCTTAAGGCTAATGGTTACTCCGACTATACAATCCGCAAAGCTATCACTCAAACCATGAAGAAGGACCCTCTTGAGGAGCCTTTCAAAACCATCACTTTACCCTACATTGCGGGGATCACAAAAAAGATCTCCAAAATCTTGAATAAACACAAGATCCAGGTCCGTTTCAACACATTACATAAAATCCGTGATCTGGTTCCGTCTGTAAAAGATGTGATTCCGGACATACAGTACCCTGGTGTCTACAAACTAAGTTGCCTCTGTGGTAGTAGTTACATTGGAGAAACCAAACGCCATGTCTCTGACCGCATTCGTAAACACAAAGCAGACCTTAAACACGGTAGGACCAACACCTCGGCCATGACAGATCATTGTTATAATTCAGTAGGCTCACATGACATTGACTTTTCCAAGACAGAGGTTCTTTGTAAGCCATCTGGCTACCATAAGAGATTCGTTCATGAGGCTATCCACATATACAAGCACAGAGACAATTTCAACCGAGAAGATGGATTCTGGCTTAGCAATCATTGGAAAGATTTGATAAACCATTTCAGGTCTTAATTGATTGTTCACGCTTACAGTGGCTTTCAGACAGCATACATTAATTTTTCGTCTCCCCCCTCCTCTTTTCAGAACGTAGATGGATTAGTCCTTCTGAATAAACTGCCAAATCGCTGCGCGTGGCGCTGACGTTTTTATAAATAAATAAGTACACTGTTTTTAAAAATAAATAAATTAATGCGGACCGACACACCTGATGACGACCGTTTGTGTTATGGTCGAAACGTCGTGAGAATTTTTATTGTTTTATATATATTTTATTATTTTATTGTTTCCCTTCAACGTGACTTTACCGAAAGAGCTAAGAATAAGTAGGACGTGTTGTCTATATAGTATTTATTTAAAGTTGCGCATTTTTACGTGACGTCACATTTCTCAAACCCCCCCCCCCGACGCCACACATCGTCACAAATGTCTGACCCCTCCCCCTAGGTGCGTGACGTCATTCATGGACGGCCCCTATGACTTCACCACTAGTTCACTGCACGTGGAATGTCACCCCCCATCGCCGTTCACACACAAACCCGTGGCTTTCACCCAATGGGCGCGTCGCGTTCTTCACGTTAGTGACCGACTTCCGAGCAACAGTTGCCGACGTTGCCTGGAAGTGACCCCGTCAGGTGACGCAGCACGACTCGGTCGGGGTATAAAGCAGCGATGTCCCTGGGGGGCGCCACAGCCTCCACGCGGTTTGAGGTTCGGCGACACGAGGTGAGTTGCTTCCCAGTCACCGACAGAGTATCCAGCAGTGGATGTCTCTCGCTGTGTGTGTACGTGTCGACTCAGCCTCAAATTAGTACCTGGTGCGGTGTGTAGTAAACATCGTCACTAGGGAGACAAAGGCGGCCGGGCGTGGTGCTGACCACCCACTTTTTTCGTGTTTGCCGTGCCGGCCTTCATAGGTGCTCGCTAACAGCACTTGCCCCTACAGCCTGTTAAAGCTACACGGGGGATCGTTGTGTATGTATACGTGTCACTCGGCCTCAAATGAGTACCTGGTGCGATGAATCTAACATCGCCCACTGGGGATACAAAGGCGGCCGGGCGTGGTGTTGGCCACCCACACCCTCGTGTTGTCGTGCCGGCCTTCATAGGTGCTCGCTAACAGCACTTGCCCCTACAGTCTGTTAAGGCTACACGGGGGATCTTTGTCTTTGTGTGTGTTTAAGACTCCTGCGCTTGCCACCACGGACATCAAACACCGAGAAAAACATCCTCCCGTGTGCCCCGACTGGACCGACTGGACGACCGAGGTTTTTACTTATTTTCTTATTATTACTACAACCACACGCTTTTATTTAACTCACTCTGTTGTTGTTGTTGTATCCTCAAATCTTGTAACTCAATTTTACCCACTTCCCAATGTGGTATCGACTGCAAACTTGCAATACTTATGTCATACTAATGACAATACTATATTCTATCAAAATAAATATTTTAAAACATTTTTATATGTGTTACTAGCTGTACTACCCGGCTTCACCCGGGACTTGGATTCACGACGCCCGGCCGCCTTTGTCCCCCCAGTGGCGATGTTCACACAACCACAGCAGTTACTCGTTTGAGGCTGAGTCGATCTAGGGGAGGCCCAGGACCGGTTTAAATAATCGTCACCGGCGGTGGCCGTGAGCGGGAATCGAACTCGGGTCGCCGGGTTCGTAGCGCGGCGCGCTAACCACTACACTACAATGCGTTACGCTTCCACATGCGCGGGTCACGTGACAGATTTGACGTCACAGCTCACTTGCCGTGCAAGAAAAATATGCATGATTGAGCTCCCCCCCCACCCACAAAAAGTGTATTTTTATAATTTCTGCATGGTGTACAGTCTGGAAAGTACCCACATGGCATGTCGGGAAGTACGCTAAACATTTTGAACAGACACACACATTCACAACTTTGCCTTTAACATATATGGAGATGTTTCGGCTTGGGTCTAATTGTCCACGCTCAACTCACGTTGGCTGTACATCACCACGGCCCCCTTACGTTATGGCAAGCCTCGGGGCCACTTCCTGGAGTCGTGGAATTTTGCCATTACTAGTACGGTACATTTAATTAAAGCGTGTTTTAAATAAAAAGTATTTAAAAAAAATACTTATTAACATCTAAATCCAGACGGCAAAACTCATTCCTTTAGAACTCGCGTGTTGCCCATTCGTGTTTAAGTTCGCTGTCCTTCCCCCGCACCTACCTGCGGTTAGCACGGCCGGCCACGTACGGCGCCAAAGAAGTTCAGCGTGCGCGCGTACAACGCAGGGTTCTCAGCGGTGCCAGCTCAGCGCTCTGACCTCGGGCGGGAGGGGGGAGGGTCACCCGGTCACCTCGTCAATGTTGAACTTCAGAAATGTTCACGGCCGTTGTTGTGGTCACAACAACGGTGGTCGCTTGTGTTGTGATTCGGTAAGGGGCCGTCCATGAATGACGTCACGCACCTAAGGGGGGGGGATCAGACATTTGTGACGACGTGTGACGAGGGGGGGGGGAGGGTGTGAGAAATCTGACGTCACATAAAAATGGGCAACTTTAAATATAGACAACACGTTCTACTTAATTATATAGACTATTTTTTATTAATGTTTTCTCCTACATCAGAGTGCAGCGCCACATTAAATACGCACTGCAATGACAATTGTTTAAAACGATTTGAAGCATGTTTTATTTGGGGGGGGGGGGGGGGGCAGAGCTTTGTGACGTCATATTTGAGTGGGGGGGGGTCTGACTTTTTGTGACGCCGTATGACGAGGGGGGTAAAAAAATCGTCCAAAATCGCGTGACGTCATTTATGGACGGCCCCTAAGGACAAGTTCATCCATTGACCAGGGGGCAGACCTGCCATGCTCTGCAGAGGGTACATGTGGTTTAGGGCGGTGTTCGTCGTTGAACAAGTGCCAGTGGACATTCCACATTCCTGCGATGGGGTCCATCCCGTCTCTCCAACAACAGATGCTGCCTAAAATGTGCAACTAAAACGTGCGAGGATGAGATGCAATGCCTCATATATGACGCTCATCGGTTATACAGTCGTGGGGTTTGTGTAACTGCTTATCACTGCTCAACCCCAGCTATTAGTGCTTTGATATTTGCATTGGCCTTGGAGTTTTCGCCCTTTGACGTTGGTCTCTGGTCTCATGCTGGTGGTGAGACAAGGCCATAAAGAAGGCTGCTGCCTCTGGTGTAGGCCATTCAGTTTCAAAGACAAAGTGTGGGTTATTATCAGAGCATGTTTGTTCGCATGTTTTTGCCACGAGCACATGTGGTCAATGCGGTCTTGATGATGACTTGTCATCGGTGTGTCGAGCTGGTGTGTTTGCTCCAAGTTTTCCGGTTTCCTCCCACGGCGAAAACAAACCAAAAAGGCCGCATGCAATGTGCCTGGTATTGACTTAAAGCTTTCACGGCTGCAGGAATTAATATTCATTGGGTCTTTTTGGCAAAGTCACGTGGAACAAAACAAATATTTTTTTTTATATTTTTTTTTGTTCTACGTATTGTTTCAGCATCTCAATGCCAAAACAAAATTACCTGCAGATTATGCAATTAATATTACACAAAGCAGCAACTTCACACCCTACTGGACAAAAAAATGTCAGGACCCTCCTGAAATTATGTTGTGAGGCCTTTTCCCTGGGTAGACAAGCACGATGATATGAAATGCTTCGCGGCAGTAAACATCACGATAGGTAAAAGTCCGCTGTGATTATAACATTCCTTGTGTTTGCAGTGAACTTCAATGATGGCGTCCAGCATTGAACTCGATCGGTTCTACAGCGAAGAGGTTGAGTTTCCACCTCGGCTGCTCGCTTCCCACATCGACACTGCCGAGCGCGAGGTTCGTACACTCCTGGCGGGGATGAGAAGCATTCAGCGGCCAAACATAGATCCCTCGATTGAATATGACATCGTTCAGACCGGCAGCTCGTATGAAGGACTCAAAGTGAAGGGGGATATGGAGCTGGATTTCATGATCGTTCTCTCTCACCCGGAATTCAAGTTTATCCCCATCACCTCAGATTACAGTGGCTATCGTAAAATAGAAGTAGAACGACAATTTGAACTGCAAGCTAATTGGCGAAAAACAGGTCCCCCTCACTCATTTCAAAAGGACTTTAGCAGCAATGGATACCTGATACCATCAAAAATATATCAGTGGTTTCAGTCATTAGCAGACAGAGCAGTCATTGAAAACAAGTCTAAATTTGTTAAAAAGTTTGTAGGCAACTTTCCAGCCCGTACGCTCATTTTAAATATTTGGCCCGATGTTGAAATCTGCGTGGACCTGGTCCCAGCGATCACCATTGACAGAGACCTCTTCGTGGTGGCCAAACCCTTGAAGACATCCCCAGATCTCTGGAGGCTGTCGTTCTCCGTCTTCGAGAAAAACATCCTCAGCCCGCTTCCAAGCCCCTCCTGCCACCTGAAGGCCCTGAAGATCCTCAAGTACCTGCGGGAGCACGACACTCGGCTGGAGGAGACGTCTCAGTTCGCGAGTGGACTCTGCTCGTACCACCTGAAGACGGCCTCCCTCCACCTGCTCGAGCAGAGGCCATACACCCAGGAGGGCCTGCACGAGCACCTGCACCAGCTGATGGACTTCCTCATTGAGTCCATGCAGGGAAGGGAACTCAACCACTTCTTTATGGGGAATCCATCGAGCCTGGCGACGAAGGCGAAAGTGCCCAGCAGCATTACCAAAGAAAAGCTCCGCCTCAATCTCTTCGGTGACACATTTATGAATGAGAGTACCCTGAACCAGGCGAGGGAGAGACTCGTCAGGATTAAACGCTCTCTGCCTGCCGTAATCCAACAGCATTCTGGCCCTGGTGCTTATAGCTGTAATATTTATTAAGCGCTCCACCTGTGACGGGTCTAAGACGTGTCAGGTTTTCGCAGCCAATATTACAATTCATGATTAATTTTCGGGTTCGGCTACGTGATGATGTGACCGATTTTTTGTTGTTAAGACCCTCCACCACCCGACACGGCCAATCATTACATTGTCACGTGGTGCACAAGTGTTCAATGTTTATTCTTGGTTCTTTCAGTAAAGTAACGTAGAAGGGAAATAATAAAGTAATAAAAATAAAACAGCTAAATTATCACGACGTTTCGATTGCAACACAAGCAATCATCATCAGGTGTGAAAAGCACAGCAATAAAAACCCGCCACATTTAAAAAAAAATGTCTTGCTGTGGTTTTACACCTGATGATGATTGCTTGTGTTGCAATCGAAACATCGTGAGAATTGTTTTATTTTAATTATGTTATTATTTCCCTTCTACGTGGTGACTTTACCGAAAGAACCAAGTATGTGAATCTCTGCAGTCACGAAAGCTTTAAATTGTTCAATGTATGTTTGTTGAACTTCTTTCGCAGCTTACGTCGCCAAAAAAGCAGTTCTAAAGAAGTGAGTTTTCAATTTCGATTTTAAAGTGCACAGCTCCAGTCGCCTCCTAACACCGGACGGAAGAGCGTTCCAGACGGCCGCAGAAGCGCTGCCTGAAAGCGCCGCGCGATGCGCTGACCGCCGCCTCTGCTCGACTGTTGGCCCAAAAGCCGCCGCCCACGAGGTTGTGACCGGAGTTCGTGTGATGACGGTTCACGCCTCTTGACGAGGTGAGCCCCCAAGGTGCCACGTTTGATTCGTGGCAAGCGCCGTGCGTGTGCGTGTGACGAGTGCGACCGGAACGACGCGCCGATTGTTGCGATCGTTTCCAGCGCCCGCCGCCGTGGACAATCGTCATGGCCCCATCTGGCATGCGGCGAGGTGACATTCGGGGGGTAGGCGTTTCGCTTGAAACTGCGTCAAGCGTCTTGCTTGGTTCTTTCGGTAAAGTCACGTAGAATGAGAATAAAATAATAAAATAAAGTGACACAATAAAATTCTCACGACGTTTCGGCCACAACACAAGTGGCCTTCATCAGGTGAAGGGACAAGCATCTTGAGGCCCAAAATGCGGGGCAGTCATAATAATACTAATTAATATTCAGACATTTTCAGACGAAACGTCACCTCCCGAGCAGTTTTTTTGCGCCTTTTCTAAACATCCAATTCAAGTTAAGGAGTCCTGAACCAGTCATCAACATAGCACATTTCTGTGGCAGAGGCTACAAATCGACACTGCGTGGTCCTTGGGCCGGCATTTGAATCGGCTCGCTTTGTAATTTCGAGCCAAGCAACGATTTTTCACGTCCCTCGTCCCTGACGAAACCTTAAATATAAGTCGCAGCGTAGTTTTATGGCGTGGAATTTTCATGATCCCGGGGAGGGGGGGGGGGGTGTCGCAAGCGCAAGGTTGAATGAAACCTTGAGAATAAACTTGAAATTTCGTTGAGTTGGCAAATGATTGTGGGGTGTGGGCGTTTTTGGATAAACCGAATAAAAAACATATTCTGAAGATAATGTCTCCTTCGAGTGTGTGATGTTAACGCGCTTTGGACGTTCAGCCAATTCATTTACAGCGCCTCGACAGAATGACCATATTGTGTTTTTTTATCGTGAATATTTTAAATGCGCACCATGCTTCACATCGCCAAAACCAACATCGTGTGGAGTGGCACACAATCCCCCAATTAAGCTTAGTGGCCGTCCATAAATGACGTCACGCATCTGGGGGGGGGAGGGGTGGTCAGACATTTGTGACGATGTGTGACGAGGGAGAGTTTGAGAAATGTGACGTCACATCAAAATGCGCAACTTTAAATCAATATAGACAACACGTTCTATTTATATTCTTGGGCCTTTCGGTAAAGTCACGTAGAAGGGAAACAATAAAATAATAAAAATATAAAACAATAACATTAAATAGACTTTTTAATAAATGTTTTCTCCTACAACATCAGAGTGCAGCGCCACATTAAATACGCACTACAATGACAATAGTTTAAAGCGATTTGAAGCATGATTTTTTTGGGGGGGGCAGAGCTTTGTGACGTCATATTTGAAGGGTGGTCTGACTTTTTATGACGTCGTGTGACGAAGGGGGGGGGGGTCAAAAATCGTCCAAAATCGCGTGACGTCATTTATGGACGGCCCCAAAACGAACATCGTGTGGAGTGGCACGCAATCCCCCAATTCAGCTTATTGGCAGCTTATTGGCAGCTTGCGTTGAAACGCAACAACCACAAAAAAAAAACATCGTAAAAGTGGAACAGCGCTCATCAATCTTCCTGGTTCTTTCGGTAGCGCTCATCAAATGTAACGATTATCGTGGTCTCGTATCGTGACAGGGCGCGGTATCGCGATATCGCCGTGACGCTATATCGCGATATCGTATCGCGATATAGCGATATATCGTCACGGCGATATCGTAACCGGGCAAATGTCCGCGGTCCCCTGAGCCTCCACGTCCCCCCCCCTCCTCCCCTCCAGCAGGGCAATCTGGAAGGGTTCAGCCAATCAGAGGCTAGGATTTTGATGACGTCGCAGGAAGTCGCCGTGGTAACCGGGGACCCCCCGCGCGGGCAATTTGCTGCCGCTTCAGAAGGAGACAGCGGCGGAGGCCTTCGGCTGGGCTCACGCTGCTGTTGTTGTTTGTTGTTGTTTATTGTTGTTGTTTATTGTTGTTGTTTATTGTTGTTTGGTTGTTGTTTTGGTTTACGCCGGATTCTGTCAGCCGCTGCTTCTGTCCGCTTTGCGGGGGCCACTTTTGGGTGAGCAGGGCTCGGCATGAACTTATACAGTACTCGCTTAGTTCGTATAGAAGACACTGGCTTGTACTGTACACGAACTGACTCACATAGACGCACTCACATAGACACACTCACATAAACACACTCACATAGACACACTCACATAGACTCACTCACATAGACTCACATAGATACACTCACATAGACACACTGACTCACATAGACACACTCACATAGACACACATACACACTCACATAGACTCACATAGACACACAGACTCACATAGACACACAGACTCACATAGACACACTCACATAGACACACTGACTCACATAGACACACTGACTCACATAGACACACTGACTCATAGACTGACTAACACATAGACACACTGATTCATAGACTGACTAACATATGGACACACTGTCTCATAGACTGACTAACACATAGACACACTGACTCATAGACTGACTAACACATAGACACACTGACTTATATACTGACTAACACATAGACACACTGACTCATAGACTGACTAACACATAGACACACTGACTTATAGACTGACTAACACATAGACACACTGACTCATAGACTTACTAACACATAGACACACATAGACTGACTAACACATAGACACACTGACTCATAGACTCACATATATTTCACGCTTTTTATCAGGGTTTTCAAAGCGCTGTACAGGATACAGCAGCAGCAGCAGACACTCAGCATAAAAATAATATCATACATACATTTCGAAATCTAATTTACGTATTAAACTAAACGTATAAATAGGGTTTAAGATGCATTTTTAAAATGTCCACAGACTCTAGAGAGAGAGAGAGATCCCTGATGTCTCGTGGAAGAGCGTTCCACAATTGCCTGGGTGGAGGCTACACGGGGACAAATCTTGGTCACCCATAGACGGAAGCCTCGACTTGGGAATAGAGAGAACATCTGCATCCCCCAGATCTTAGTGACTTTAGAGTTGACACATTTGGGGGTTTGGGGGGGGTGGAGGGGTACATCATGTCAGTGATGTAGGCTGGGGCAAGATGATGGTCGTTCGCTGGCCTCTGTAAGTTAACAATATGATTTCAAACTTGATTTGAAGCTTTCGTGACTGCAGGAATCCATACTCCTTGGTTCTTTCGGTAAAGACACGAAGTTAGAAATAAAATGAAACCCATCACGACGTTCCGATGCCAACACAAGCGGTCGTCATCAGGCAATGATGGCCACCGCTTGTGTTGCGATCGAAACGTCGTCATTGATTTTATTTCTAACTACGTGACTTTACCGAAAGAACCAAAGAATAGGATTTCAAACTCATATTCTCGTGTTATAACCGGAAGCCGGGGGAGGGGGGGGGCTCAAGACGAAGGGGCGGGCCTACGGAAGAAGGGGGCGGGGCTTAAAAAGGAAAGGCGCGAGAGATGAAAGGCCGGAAGGGGTGGGGAGGGGGTGCCTCATCAGGAATCGGCGGTGACTGAGTAGGCATTACTCTTTGGTTCTTTACGGTAAAGTCACGTAGGTCGAAAAAATAACAGATCACGACGCTTGGATCGCGACACAAGCAATCGCCATCAGGTGAGACAACTACAGCAGGAAAACCGCTGTAGTGGGCGCCTACTTCAGCGGTTTCCTTGTTGCGAACGAAACGTCGTGATATATTATTTTTTTCTACCTACGTGACTTCACCGAAAGAACCCAAGAGTATGGTTTAAAGGCAGTCGGAGCACGGAATCTAAAATACGCATCCAGCGTAGCTTTATTGCCGCCGATTGGACACGGGGCGAGTGATTGTGTGCACTGCGTGTCAGGCTGAGACGATGATCGAGGTGGTGGCGAAGATTACACGCGGGCCCGTGTTCCTGGCCGGGGAGACGCTGGAGTGTCTTGTCACCTTCACCAACCCCATGGGGCCCCACGCCACCTCTGCCAGCTGGTGAGTGTCTCAGCTAGTGAGCTAGTGAGCGAGTGCCTCAGCTGGTGAGTGGATCAGCTGGTGGGTTAGAGATTCACCTCGTGAGTGTGAGGTTCAGCTGAGTGAGAGACCACCCAGCTGGTGAACAAAAGATTAAGCTGGTGAGGGATTCAGATGGTGAGTAAGAGCCCCAGCCGGTGAGTGAGAAACAGCTGGTGGGTGAGAACCCCAGCGGCGTATAATCTGAACACGGGTGGCCGAACACAGTTTCAACGAACCTGGAACCTCCAGGGGTCACAGCGCGGTGTTTCCCTCCCGTGGCCGACGCTTCCCCCTGGTGACGGTTGCGTTTGCCTGTGCTGCCGCTGCCGCCTTTGCCCAGCGAGACGCTGGCGTGGGCCAGCGCTCAGATCCACTGCCAGTTCCACGCCAGCGAGAGCCGCGTGGCGCTGCCACCGACGCCGACAGCGGGGCCGGACGTGCAGGCCGAGAGCGACACGGTCTTCGTGCCCAACCGAGGTCAGCCACGTGTGCACACA